AACCATCAAAGAAAGTGATTGTGAAAACAGTTTAGGGTTGAAAATACCACAAGTATTACCAGTGCTGGTTCAAAGAGAAAGGAAATGGCCTGCAACACTGTCGGTCTGGATGTAAAAACATATCTCTTCATTGGTTTGTTCACACAGTCTCACAGTCACACGAGTCTTTGACAAAGCGCCAAGGGATCAATAATGCTTAATGACACCTTCACCAGGAAACTGCTGGTTGTAATTGCTGAAATTCGCTATGATACTCTCTGAACAGAACAATAAGTGCTCAATATTCAGTTTCGGTTCAGCCCAGCCGCAGTCAGTCCTGCCCTTGTTCAACAATGAGGGTCAACTGACCTCTCTGAACACTGAAAAGAAAACACATAAAACTCTTGTCTCCTCTTCCTGTAAGTTTCAGTTGGGGTTTAACCAGAGCCCCTCCGGCAGCCCTGCCGTTGTTCTGCTGCAGTCCCTCCTGACGTCAGATGGTTATTTGAAGAGGGTCCGTGCCTCCTGGTCAGGTTTCCCACAGGGCCGAGGCTCAGCCCATCTCCCTGACCCCCCGGGAAGCAGAGGTCACGCATGAGAGAGGGGAATGAAAAGGGCCATTCCTCTGATTTACGACCCGACGTAGCTATAGGATACCTTCAGCTCAGGGATGGTTTTTGTTACGGAGGTGGAGGTACACCAAAGCAGACCCCCACCACCACCACCATCACCACCACCACCACCTCCTGCCGACATTGGTTTAAGATTTCAGTCATCCAGAGGGACAAGCCTGGCACTCACTGACTGGTGAATCTGGAATTTAAAATGGCCTTGTAGTGTTAGAGGACAACGTGGAGCTACAACAACAGTTATCATTTAATTTTGAATAAGTTGCATTCCCAGATGTAAGCCAGCTGTTGGATTTTGGAACGGCGTTACATAATTGATTCGACCGCTGCTGTGTTGGATCATTCCAGTCATTCTTTGGACTCAGTTAAGAAGATTTTTATTTTAGTCAGACGTGAGTCAGTCTGCATCTATATCAAATCAAACTGGTCCTGGTGACCTCTGGCTCTCGGGTCAAGAACTTAGCTGCCTCCCATATTCCCAATATTACACATGAGGGCTGCCTCTATGAGAGCTTTTATTTATTTTTTTTACAAGCTGCTATTGTAACTGAGTGACAAGATGGTTTTGTGACATGAGTCACCACTATCCAACACAGCTCGCTGAGTTCCCCCATTTTGCTTTAGCAAAGAGAACGGTAACAATCTGGTTCACTGACACACCAACATTGCAGTGATGGGTAAAGTGGATGGTGCATTTTAGGAGCACACCCCCCTAGAGTAGAAAGCGCGGCCTCTTGCTTTCATACAAGAACGCTGAATATTTAATTTATTCCCACCGGTATGTTGTTCAAAATTACTTCAAACTGCAACTAATCTTCACAGACTGTTGTCTTTGCAGTTACAATACAAGAAAATATATACAAGAGAAGTCAGTAAAAGGAAGAAAACAGAATGTTTTCTCCCACATTAAATATTAATTTGTTGTTTCTCATGTTCCTGGGGCTTTGCCATTACCATTCTTTACTTCTTCCAGCTCTGAGTGGAGCTGCTCTGTTTTGTATGACATTTTGGGGTAATAGCATACAGCATTAATCAAGCAAATTTAGGACTGTATGCATATTGACTCTATGCATATGCTTTAAGTGGTGATAATCAAAACCAAGGTGGATCATGACTACTTGTGTGTGAAGGGGGGAGTTCATAATGACAAGCTTTGCAGGATCTTTGAGTGCATCGTTTTGGTTTCAGGGCGTGTAACTCTAATGTTCTGGTTCACTCTCTCAGCTCTCTTCACCACAGTTTTCAGCTACGCAACTGTAAAAACTGCACTCTGCACCAAGTGACAGACAGATAAAGTCAGCAACTGGCTGGTGAACACAGTGGAGCATTTTGCCGCCATAGAACCAGATATTTCCCTCAGGAGACACTGGAGACCAAAACAGAGCTGTTATCTATGTTTAGCTTAAACCATCAGGTAGCCAGAGACACAACTGAAACTAAATGTTGTTGCTTCAAGTTTGCCGGATGTATGAATAAGCAGCTGTTTGTTCAATACATCAACTTACAACATGACAATATGTCAACAGTATATTTACAGCTTTTTTTTCCCACTGCTCCAAATAGCCAAAAAAAAATCTGTCACTGGAGGTTTATTTTTGTCGCTTATCCACTGTGAAAGAATCACATTCTCCAAAACCCTGTCAGAATCAGTATGTAGAGTGGAACTGGGACACAGCTCCTGCACCAGTGTTTCCAGTTTCAGACCACCACTGCTGCTACACACTCCCCTGTGCTTGTAGCTTCTGGATATTTCAAGCATGTTTCTGATTAAAACGTGCCTTGGTAACAGCTGCTAATTGGCTACCATGTTTTATTCTTGTCCTGGCAGATCAGAGACCTGTGTGTTAGCTATGTATGTGTGTGTGTGTGTGTGTGTGTGTGTCTGTGTCTGTGTGTGTGTTCAGCCTCTCTGTCCCTGAGTCATGAACCGAGCTTCTCTCAAGCGTAGACATCCGCAGTCTGCTGAAGCTGCTGGCGCAGAAGAACTAGGCCAGATTTGACACACTTCACAACCCATGCTAACCCTGACACACATTATTGCTTCTCGGAGCTCACAGGAAAAATCCCAGCTACAAATGCAACACAGTTCGAGGCCACACAAAAACAAAATGATAGTATCTGAGATAAGTTGATTAGCTGGATTGGAGGTTTTTTATCCCAAAAGATATGTAAGACTGAAACAGTTCGGTTGTGACAGTCGCCACAAGTGTTCAAGACCAAAATCAGTTAAAAACTCCAGGCTAAAAAGGAATGAGATTTTCATTTGTTGAGAGGTGGGTCCGTTATGCTACGTTAAGTAAACCCACAGCTGCTTGTGTAAATAATAAGTGTCGTTTCTTACATTTGTGGCTTATTAAATGGCTAAGAATAGTTTTGTGAAGTTTCAAGAGATGCTTTATTCATTTAAGAGCTTCAGAGTGAAGCTGTAACTGGGTCAGAACTTTGCAGGACAGGATTTGCTGGTGTGCAAAAGTGTAAAACAGGAGGTCCTCCTCAGACCCCCTGTGGCAGGTCTTTTTTTTAATTTTTTTTATGCGAGTAGAAAACCACATCAGCAGCATCAAAGCCTGGAGTGGTGGATCCCTGCCAGTTTATCATCCACATTTCTAACTACCAGGCGTTTTCTACGAGCACACGAAAGACTAAAACAGGTACAACAGCTCAACTTTTCCTCTGAAAACTTTCGCTTGCTCAGCACTAGACCAGCCTAAACCTTAACTTTCAGCCCTGTAATAATAAGATCTGAATTGTCCTCTGCCAGCTGTTGTCTGTTTATTTCAAAACATGACCATATGTTTAAACCTTGTCCTATGAACCCAAAACAGGATGTCACAGCAGGCCCTCCGGTCAGAGTAACTGACATAGACACAGGCGCACAGGAGGGCTATTGTTTTCTTCTGCTTTGGGAAAGAGAGAGAGAGGGAAAGGGAAGTGTGGTGTGGGAGGAAGAAATCAGATGTGTGTTTGTGTGTATTTGTGTATCTAGTTATTATACACTGTATGTGTTGCTATTTGAAACAGACTTACAGACTGTAGGGGCTAACTGAGGAAACAACCAGCTGCTGAAATGTTGTTCAGTGCCTGCGTAACAGAGCCCAGGGAATGTGTCAGACATTTGTATCCTTAAATGTCCTCAAACCATTTTGGGGTGTCTTTTGAAGGGAAAGTCCTTAAAATAGAAATCACATATTGTTTTACTTTGTGAAAAGTCCTTCCTCTGAATAAGTCATCTTCAGACAAACCCTAGAGCTGCTGTCATGGGCAGTGAATTATGGAACAACTTGTCGCTGGACAGCACATGTGATGATTTCACAAGGATGTGGACTCATTTTGTAACGCACATCTGTAAGCCTCAGGAATAAATATAGCTCAATTTAATATCTTAAAATACAGTTAGACATCTGGGGAAATAAAATGGAAAAGACAGTTTTTTTTTGTCTGTATTATACAAAATATAACATGGTAATTAGTGAGGTTTAGAGGTGCTGGTAGGTGGATTTTGTTGCCTTTGTTATGCACCAATTGGCTCTAGTTCTTTACTTGGTGGACAGACATGAGAGTGGTATCGATCCTCACCTCTAACTTTCATCGATCCTCACCTCTAACTTTCGACAAGAAAGTTAAGCATATTTCCTAAAATGTTGAAATATTCTTTAAAAAAGAGTCCACAGAGTCAGGCACCAATTTTTATGTCAATGGATCAACTTTATGATTTATGCTCTGACTTCCAGCCTAGGGAGATAGTTGTCAGCATGAAAAAATTGTTTCTACTTTCCCCCGAAAGGTTTAAAGCCGTTGTGAGCCGGTGCATGCGGAAACAAAAGCTGACTCAGGGCTGAAAAGGAGAAAAGAGAGGACAAAGAGTGTCAGGAGGAGTCTGCAGACAGGGCGGAGGGTCTGCTCCTAAGACGCTGTAGACATAGCATCAGGCCACACAGAGGCCTCCTTGTCTACAAACACAACCTGTTGCAACTCACTCAAGAGCATAGTATGCAGGGAATGCTAAAAGGATTAACGCACAGCCACTTGAGATAATGTGAAAAATGAGACGCGATGTGGTGGAGGTGGCCAACAACAAGTCAAGGACAAGACGCCGTCACAACACTGATTCAGTCGACCATTACCCTCTAAGAAGATTAGGCAACACATCACAGTCACAGCCTTTTCTAAACATCCTTTTACCTTTCTCCAGTTTTTCTAATTGAATGTAACTTAAAAACATATATATTTTAATTGATTACTGAATGCTACAATATTTCGAACCATTATTTATGAATAAAAACATTTTCTTTCTGCTATATACCATAATAGGTGCAGACTGAGTTTAGATACCGTAATGTAAGAAAATCACAACAGATACAGTAAAGAAAATTACACACGCATACATTTCTTCATTTGTGTTTATTTGCTGTGTACATCATACACAAACCTCTTTGGAATAAAATCAAAATGAAATAAAAAAGGAGATTCAGAAGTTACGGAGCCACTTTGTAAACATGCAACCAAATGGTTTTTATCAGGGTTTTTATTAAAACAAAACTCAACAAAAAAAGTCCAGTCTGAAGGAGTTTCAGGAGTGTGCCATGCTCATGATGAATACAGGAAAAAGAAAACATATCAAGGCTGCAAATACTTGTGTTCATTTATCACATGTACAAATATAACGTGCCCTTAGGTTCAGTAATACTCAGTCTAACCTCCACATACCTCGGCAGACCCCCAGTTCATATTTCAGTGGCATCCTCCAGGCCAAGCAATGGAAATGACCTTTCATTGAGATAAAGTGACAATCACTGAAGGATGGATGAAGTGAGGTAGGATCTGTGGTTATCAGAGAGAGGAGGGCAGCTTATCCTCCCCTGCTTGTTTTATGATGGGAGACAGGCTGACGGAGCCAGCTGGGGAGGTTCAACATCTGTAAACTGCCAGATGCTCAAAGTGACATCGTACAGCACTTGGCAGTAAGGGTCTGACGACTTTAGCTACTTTACTTTTGGAGGTGAATATATTATTTTAGGTTTTTCTTCATTCTCATTTTTTTGTGAGATTTAAACCCTCAGTTTGAACATATTTGCCTGCCACAGTCCAGTTTTGCTCCTACAGAGTTGACCATTAACAGGCTGTCTCTCCCTTGCAGCTCTAGAGCTTACACAGCTGTGGGCACTTTACAGGCATGAAGCATTAGCTGTGGTAATCAATGACTGTGTCACAAGTGATTATTGGACAGTGTTTACTATGTGAGAATTGGTTGGAAAATGAGCTGAAAATTATGCAATCTACTGGCCAGGCATGGCTCTTTATCCTCCACGATGCAGGTGCTCCTTTGAATCCAGCTCAGTGTTTAACGTTATATGAGATGAATCTCTGTACAGACTCAAAGTTATATCTCTATCTTTCATTTCCTCTCTCCCTGTCCAGTTCAGTGCATTAACAACCCCACAGGGGTGCCTCGCATGTTTGTTCCAACGCCTGCGTTTAAGGAGTAAAAAAAAAAAAAGCAACACACAAACTAAACTGGGACAGATCCGAATGAGGTACTCATGGTTCACTTCACACTCACACAACAGTTTTCCAGTTTAGAAAAAAATCATAGCTTAGTGGTTTTCCATTTTAAATTAGTCATTAAGGGAAAGTGTTGGTGTCAAGGACACTAAACTGTGTCCGCTGTGTCATGACAGACATACACTTATGTGCCTTGTCAGGGGTCACAGGGGCTGATTTCAGATCAGGTCTGAATCAGAGTTGTTTCAATAGCTGAATGGAAGATACAAGTGAAGAAGACGGCAATGTCCACTCCACACACACTCACACACTCATACAGATACAAAAACATTTTGCAGGGAGAAATGGTTCCATTCGCCAGTAAGGTCAATCTATACCCACACAATACTTCCATAGGCTCTATAAATACAACATATCATTTTGACAAGAGATAACTAGTTGCAGTCATTGTCCCCTCGCTTGAAGAAACAGTCTCTTTGGAGTCGGGAAGAACAAGGGACTGAGGATAACTATGTGCCACGGATGCTAACCGCAAGTGCAGACATTAGCAGCTGAAACAAACCCTAAGCTCAGCCGCTTTGACTTGCATTGCACCTTGTGAACCAAGTCCTATTTTTTTCTTCTATGTTGCATTGTAGCAACACGGCTAGCTTATCACATCCCATTCTGAATGATGTTGAAGTTCGAGTGAAAATTCAGTGACAATTCAATGCTTTGACTTTTGGTTTGTGGTGCATTTAAGCAGCATATTTCTTCACAAAGGGTAAAGGTCAAACGCGTGTTTCACTAGAAATGAACACCTGCAGATTCTCAGCTCTCCGTGGCACATGCTATCTTCTCCTTATATTAAACTGTAGACTCTTTGGGTCCCTCTCGAGCAGCGTTCTTACACCCGTAAAGCCACTTGATGACACGAGCGTTTCTCTCGATGATTGACACCCCAGTGGGAAGCTGCTCAGCCAGCTCCTCCTGAAACAGGCCGTCTCCTGAGTGTCGGGAGAACTCGCTAGGCTCTGAGCCGCCGCAGCCGTCCCCGCCCACGCTGCGGAGGGCCAATGAGAGTGTGTCTATGGAGCTGGCCCCAGAGAGGAAATTCTCCCGACCCAGACGCTCTATCATGTCCATATCCAGCCCACAGAAGTCAAAGAAATGCTCCTGCTCTGATAATGCTACAGAGCAGCGCAGACGCAGGTCTGACTTGGAGCGATGCAACTGCCCAAACTTCCGTCTGGGTGGTGGTGGTGGTGACGCCCGCTTCCACGGGTCATTCTCATCATCATGGTTACTTGAGTGGTTTCCATTGGTGATACCATTGCTAACGCCATCGCTGGTGCCATTTGTAAATCCATCCTTAGTCCCTTCAGGCGTGCAGCTCAACCCAGGACTAGGGATTGACCTTGGGCTGCGTTCGTGGTCAGTTTTACTTGACCTCCTGCTCCCTGGTCCGCCATCCACAGTGTCTTTGTCGTTGGTCCATGACATGCGGGAGTCTCCATCCCGTGATGGTGCTTTTTCTTCACCGATGACCATCTTCTGAATCCTGCCTTCACCTCCGCTACTCTTTTCCCTCATGGAGCCCTGAAAGAGGCGGCGGACAAAACTGTACCCCTTTACTTCCATGTTATTGTTCTCTCCCACCGCTGCACCACTGGGGCTCTTGCACTCTTTCTTTTGCCGGTAGATGACGAGGGAGTCAGGCCTCAACATGCGTTTACCTGTGCTTCTTCTGAGTATAGGAGCACTGTGCGGCGCTACTAAGGTGTTAATTCCAGGTGTCCTGGGGCTCGGAGGCATTACATTGTTCACATTGCTCCTGTTATGTGCCTCAATATCAACAGAAGTCCGTCTGTTCTCCTTTCTGGAGTCATCATTTTCATTCTCATCTCGTGAAGTGAAGGAGCCAGAGAGTGTAGAGAAGGGGGTGTTGGATGAACGACGTAGGGGAAGATGAGGGGTCAGGCTGCCGGGGATGGCAACAGCTCGTCGGGGCTGCGGTGGCGGGGTGGCACAGGGAACCAGTACAGGCTCCTGTTTAGTGTTGATCACCTGCTGGCTCTTAACATATTTGGCTTTGTCTGCCTCCAGTCTCTCCACTGCGCTGATTGAGCGACCTTGGCCACCGCCATCTATCTGCCTGCGCAGGTAGTCTGGACCCTTGTTGAGGAGCCTCAGAGGAGAGGGGGATCCAATTGGTGTCAGAGGCTTCATATTGGCTCACCAGGCTGGGAAAGGCATCCAAACTGCAGCCTCTCAATGACTCACAGTTTCCCCAAGAGAGCTGTTGTTGGCCCTGTTAAGGTTTCAAAACTAATGAGGGTGTCTGGCAGCTCTCATTCCAGTTCTCACAGCTCTTGAATCTTCATTTAGGGGTAATAGATAAGTAGCAATTCATGAGACCACAGAGTCCAAATTTGTTGTATCGTTCTCTATAGATAGCATACAGTCTCTTTGTTGGGCAGTGTTAGAACAAATTGATATCTCTATCCAGTATTTACACAGGCATTTGGATAGGAAGGCAGGGCACAGGGAAGTGCTTTTTTTTGTCAGCCAAAAGCACTCCCAAATGAGACGCTCCCTGCCCACAGCGCAGCAGAAATAGCATGTAGGGTGCACTTTGAAAGGGTTACTTTTTCCTCCCCCGCTTTTTCCTCTCTCTCTTTTTTTTTAATCTCCCAACAACACCCTTCACTGTTGATCTTTTCAGTGACGGCTGCGCGAAGAAATTAGATATAATGGCCTCAAATATTTGCTTTGTGCAAGCTGTCAAGGGACACTGGGTCAAGACTTTTATTGTTTGGCGCCCGTCGTGGTTGAGGTGACCTGTGGGTGGCCGGCACCGAGGCACTTGGATTGTTGATGGACAGATAGGGGAGATGCAGATCTTGTCCTTGTCCTCACCTCACCTGGGTTGACCCCTGAAAAGAGACACAGACAGAAATTGGTTTTAGTTGGAAGTGCTATTCTCCAGGGCCGGCAGCAGAGACCAGATGGCAGGGAGAACAGAGGTCCCTACAGCTCAGCTCAGATAGTACTTATTTAAAGCTGGAGGGAGTTGCATGTCTGGAGCGGGCAGCAATGCAGAGCTGTCATGTATACGCATTTAATGACCCCCTAACTTAGATATATATTAAATGCAATATGCATACTACTTTTAGACATGAAGCCGATACTCCTATCTAAGTCAACGGTCAATGAGTAAACAGGTAAGGCGTTCAAACACAGGCTATGGTAGCATGTATGAACCAGCAACAACCACTAAACAATGTGATTCTCCTTTAACAGTAAACACAGTATTCTGAGCTGTTGCATAAATGTGAACAGAGAAATCCAGTTTCCATATGCAAGAATCAAACATTTCATTTTAGTGTGAGATACAGTAACTGTTGTCAAGCCACTATCACAGCATCCTGAAAATGGTGGATGAAAGAAAAATGGATATAGCGATGTTTGTTGTCCAGACAGGGTGACGACAAATATCTGCCTCCATCCGTTTTCTGCACAGGAAGTTGAAATGAACTTAAGCTTTTTTCAGGACAGACACCATCGATTTGAGCAGTTGTGTTGGGTTTGCTTGGAAATAAATGGCAGCAAATACCCGTATGACTGATTACTGCGGAAAACCTGGCAAGCAGAGAAAGCATGTGTTTTTCTGCTACAAGCAAACCACCTCTGCACCAATCCTCCTGCCTGTCCACTGACATGACAGGACACCATCTTCAGGGGTAGAAATCCTCAATTTTCTGACAGATTAGTGTAGCTGACCTCTTTAAAGTTTTACACCACTGACAGCCAGACTGAGGCTGTTGCAATTTAACCAGCCTCCAGTGCTGCTTAAGTAAGCCAATACACTTCTAAGCTAATAACTCTTTCATAGTCACACTTAAACAGCTTGTTCTTCAAATTAACAAGCCACTACAAAAGTTAAGTGACACTTTAAACCAACTATAAGGCATAAGGCATGAGGCTGTGAAATCGACTGTCAACTTTACCACTTATGTTGTGCTCTGTGAAGACGTTGCATATCTTTTATGTTTTCACACTATATGAAGATTTAGGAGGGGGGAGGAGGCTGCACCCGAGGAGTATTTATAGCTTGAAAACACCCCAGCCGAGTTATCATGTGTCTCTGTATGTGTGCATGTATGTGTGTATATGCATGTGGTCATGGGTATATTTGTGTATCTGCTCTAATTTTAACATGAGGCAATAAGAGGCTTCCCTGTAAATGAAAGAGGGCCCTACGCACAGTTAGCCTGCAAATAGTCAAGACACCCTTTTCATGTGCAGAAAAAAGCAGTGAGTGTCTGCCATGTGCAAACTGCAGACGAAGAGCACATCTTTACAACCTGAGGCTGTTATAAATACCCAGAGGCACAGGTGGTGCCTGTTTTTCGTTCACCTCCCTTCAAAATGTATGAAGAGTCCATCTGGAGAGATAAATGTTCCTTATTCTGTGCTAGACGCCAGGATGGTGTGATATTGTTGTGCTTATCGTTCCCTCAGGTCCGCTTCAAGTGTTATCAAATGCTATTTTAGCTTTTCCTTCACATGAGGTAAAAACAATGAACAACCTCTTTTGGCAGGAAAAGGGATCCACGTCTCATCAGTTAGGACGAACCCTATGCACCCCTGTGCACACGTCTTCCGTCTTACATGCTGACATGCTCTTGATTTAGAAGATAGTAAACAAATGGCTGAGTGAGATGCAAGTCAGGTCATTAGGAGTCACGTTTAAACCAAAGAAAACATGACTTTATGCATTTCACCCCACTAACACTCACAGTGTGAATTAAACAAAAGGAGACTGTATTACTTTCAAAGGAAAACTTGGATTCTTCTTAAATCATTTAGTCTCATATTCTCACTTATTCCCAAAAGTAGGACTTATTTTCTTAAAATTAGAAATATTCTGCAGCTATTGAGATCATGTCACATGGTCCCAGTGCAGATTCCTGACACGTAAAAGAGTTTTCTTGCTCTTGTTTAGCATTCAATAACAGATTAAATGAAAAGTTAAGACAGAAGAGAGATGATGGTCTCTGTTGAGCTGTGTTCCCACAGCAAAGACAATGTTAAATCAAGCTTAATAATAATAATAATAATTTATAACATTTAAAAAAGTTGAATGTTTCAGCAAATTTCTTTTTATATGATTACAGTACTTACAATAGAGACGTAATCAACAGTGAATGCAACACTAATCAATTCCTAAAATGCTTTCCATTTTTCTACTATCTAGTCGACCTCTACTACCACTAAATACTTCTAAAACTAATCACTAAACTACTCCTGACACTTCAGAAGGTGACCTCTCATTTCACATTACTTCATCCAGCCACCGCACCCCCTCACAGAGCCGGCCCGTCAAATGGTATACGACTATAAATTCACCAAGGATCGGGGGCAACAGCCAGCCACTTAGTTTTTCCAGATGTCGGGCTGTCGGGAAAGTCGAGCATTGTTTAGGTAGACTCGCGGGAAAATGTCTCACAACAGGTGTGGAGGTGGAAGAAAGGGTTTGAGGTTGGTATAAAACAAGAAAAATGGGCAGAAAATGAGGAGGAAGTTGGAAGAGGGGGTTACGGTGTATAGGCTGGGGTTATAGGGTATTTATTAGACACCTTTCTTCCGGAACAATCTGTTCCCCATCTGGGTCCAAAATGGAAAAGTGGCAGGCTAATGCAATTGAAGCGTTAAAGGAGATTATCGCCATGGGAGCCTAAACAAAGTCATTAATCCTGATGTTAGCTTTCCATTGAGGGGGATGGGAATAAAGTATGCAAAATCATATGAGGCAAACAGGGGACAATATCTATGGATACAGCTACTGTTAATCCCCGCTCACCCAACAGTCATATCCTTGAAATACATAACAATATGTGCATTCATTGAATCTGATGTCAAGTTGAAAGAAAACCAGCCACTTTCAGAGGTTATCTATTGCTCCAAGCGCTATCTCAGAAAGGTTAGATTTGAAAATACACACACACACACACATACACACACACACACACACACACACAGACACACACACACACACACACACACGCAGGGTGAACCAGTGACTCAATTTGGGATTTGCGTGAGAACAATAGCCACCATTAGGTCCATTGACCATAATGAGCCAAATTAGTACCCAGCACCTTCTCCTGTGATCCGGCGGGTTGTGAAAAGCGTGAGACGGCTGGAGAGTCTCTCTTGTTTTTCACGGTCTCCTTTGTTTCTCACTGTAGGTTGTCATTAACCTCTAAACCCTTCCCTTCTTTCTCATCTCTATAGTGAACCCCGCACACACGCACCTTCTCCTTCCTAACGCTACTTAACCTTGTGTCTCACTCCCCTACACTCCCCTTCCCACTCTTCGTCTCTCTGCATCTCCTGTATATGCCACAGGGCCTCCTTACCCTCTCATTTCCCTCCCTACTCTATCACTCTCTTCCTGTGTACACCCTGTGTGTCTACCCTCTCTCTCTATCTTGCTCCATTTACTGTTACTCCCAGTATCTGAGTGCAATCTTCGAAAGGTTTTGTCTAGCTTGGAACAACACACATTTGTGTTACTTTTCCGAATAAGATGCTTTATTCATCAGAATCAGCTGTGTGCTGACGCTGTTAGTAACCTACCACCAAGGGGACCCAAGATAAATATGAAGGGGAACAATATAATTAACAAAATTGGACAGAAAAAGAAAAACATTTCTGCCTGAAAAATAATTGCAAACATCACCCTTTTGTTAAACTGGTCAGGATCAGAAGCCAGAAACATTGAGTGTGTTCCAGTGTCTGAGCCATCTCTCAAAAGGTAGATCCTCTGACACACTCAAAGTTTTCCTTTTTAACTATTTTATGTTTTTGTTGTTTGTTAGTCCCAATTAGCCAGTTGCAGTGATCTGCACACTATGTCATCATTTGTTTTCATCTGTTTTTCCTCTGCAGCTGTGAAATCAGCAAATACACACATGTAACAGTGTTGAGAGTTTAGTATGCACTAAACAAACTGGTTCACACTGGGTGTCGCCGGAAGACATCTAAAGGCAAAAAATGATACCCAATGAATCGTTTTGAATAGCGTTAAACGTGCACAGTTTTGAACGCTCCCTCTTCTAAGGGATTAATGTTGCACATAAAAAGTGATAGAAGTAGTTGTGTAAAGAATAAACAAGATTATGTATATGGCGGGACCGCCTATGGTCAGTGTGGGAAATTGCATTACGTGTGATTACAAATTCAACATTTGAGCCTGTAACCTGTTCAAATTAAAAGTCCTCTAGCGTTTCAGTGGGTAGAAACCCTTTATTTCTTAACAGGGTTTTACTGCTGTGCTGACGTGCTGCAGGGAGTTGTCTCATTTCCCTCCCACTCTCCTGCTCTCTCTGCTCAGTGTGTCTCATGTTTAGTTACTCCTCTGCCTCCTTTAGTAATACTGATACATGTAATGAACGTAGTTTATTTGCCTTAATGGAGATGAGGGTCAGTGAGTTGAAAGTGCAGCTTCCGAACTGCCGGGAAACCAGAGTGGCTAGGTGACTCCCCGTAGCAAGAGGTGTAGCCCTTATTCCCCCACGTTGGCATCCACAAGTGGCCCAGCCATGTACCAGGTTTATACCCACTTTGTTTGAAAAAAAAGTCTCTAAATCTAGCAACAAATGCGCTAAGTTGGCAACACTGCAGGCTGTAAACGCCTCCCTAATAGAACCTGTTTGCGCCAGAGAGTCCAACTCAGTCATGTGGCATTCGGCCAATGGTGAAAATATGATCAGTCAGTCAGCGACATTCTCCATTATAAAGATAGATATAGAAAAAATAAAGAATAAAGAAAGATAAAAACGATAGCTCAGGAGATACTTTCTCACCTCTGCACTCCCAGCCAGTCGCTGCGTGAAATGGGAGCGTTTGTCGCATTTTATGTTTCAAG